CGCTTAGACTTTGTTGCTTTTTCAATTTTTCCTAATAAACAATCGTGGTACAAAGCTCAATAAAAATATTAAAAAATAAAATGTTAACAAGCCATAATAACATTGACAAATACTTTACTTTTCTTTTTAATGTATTCATTGGCTAAATTAAACAAATAAACAAATAGATATGAACCAAATCGGACTATCAATACGAGATTTTCAAATATCTCGACACCTGCGCCACCTATCGGATTAACTCATACTTCGTATTGCATTGTCATCGGGTTCTGAGCCAACGGTGAAGTTTCAAGTCTATAGGTCATTGAGAAGTTGATCAAAAATTTATTGCAATATTTGCCCCTAACAAACATACATACATACATACCTAGAGAGCAAAACAAGGAGTTTTAGTTCGGATTGAAGTTCCACTCTACAGGAGTTAGGCTTTCGATGCGTTCTCCTTGTATATATATAAAAACAAGAAAACAAACAGAGCAAGTGAAATAATGGCTTGTGAAATAGAGGCACTTCAAAATTTTCACACAAAAATGTAACAATTCCCCTCTGCAATGAAAAATTGTTCACGGAGAAAAAGGCTTAAGCGACACTGCGGGCACAAAAAATTGAAATAGAGTACAATTAAGCACTTAAGCCAAAATTGCTTTCGCTATAACTTTGTAACGGTACTTCGTAGGACTTTGAAATTTTGACAGCTGGTGCGTATGATGGTAGGTAATCCGCCAAAAACAGAAAACCGAACAGGTTGTTGCTTACGCCCTTTTGGCGGTTAGGGCTCGATATATTGGCGTAAGAAGATAAAATTAGTCTATTTCTAAGAGGTTTTTGCTTATTGTGACGCCCCTATAAAGCAAACTATATTTAAGTAGCGCACGTTGGTGAGGAGGGTTCAACAAATATTTTGCGAAAAACCGGAACAAAATCGGTTCAGTTTAAGCTGAGGTGTGAGGGAACATACACATTATTAGGCTTTATTTTATAAGATGTAGGGAAGATATGTATTTCTTACTGGCAAATACTAAATAGTTACTTGTAAAAATTTATCCAGTAACAATCCAGTAAAACTTGCAAGTTTAGCTGTCATTTGCAGTCTCTCGATCTCTTCTACTTCGCTCTTTTCTTACAAGTCTTGTAAGAAACCCAGGGCCTTCGAGAGAAAACTCGGGCCCTATACATAAATTGTATTAATTTAAAAGAATGTGATAATTTTCTTTAATTTATAGAGTCAGAAACAATCAGCACGAATCGGAATAAATTTATAATGAAAGCCTACCACGAAGGAGCAATTAAATTGTAAAAAAATTAAAAACATGTTATGGTTCTGACATATTGGGTCCCTTAAAAAGCATGGGCCTGATGAAACCGCCAGCTAGAAAAATTCCAATAAAATTGTTACTAGTTATTACTGGATGTGTAAAAAATCACTACTATATTTACATACATATGTACGTTAAAGTGCAATGATGATTGCCTATCCATCAAAAGTGCAGAAAATAAATACGATATACTACTTGTCAAATGTATGATAAGCAAGGCAATGGATTTTCGCTACGCCCCTTTATCAATTATTGGCCTTTCCCGAGGCCAAACTAATTTGAACTGGAGAGTATATTAGAAGATCTACTAGTTCAGTCTAGACTTAAACGGTTTGTCCAAACCAACTTCGGACAGACCAGTTTATCCTAGGATATACCGGTATATCCTATCGCATGTTGGTAGAACTAGTTTGGCCTAAGAAAAACTAGTTTGACCGTAATATTTGGTTTGGCCGGTAACATATAAATACAACATATATAACATATAATAACAACAGAGGACTGATAATAGACCTTGAGGTGTGTCATTACAAAAAAATTATCAAGGCTGCTCTCGCACCATGGTTTGATTTTTTAACGATCATTAGTTAAGCGCCCGTTATAGCTTATTTAATGAATGTTTCTGAGTGCGAAATGTAACCTTTCAAATGGTGTTTAGCAGGTTGAAAAGCGATTAGTATAAGAGCGTAAACTATGCGCAATACCGGGCGAAAGTTGTAACCACTAGTTTTTAATAAGTTGAAGCAACTGATCAGTTTAATAAAACGACATTTTAGTTTATATTTATCTTACCTAATTTTATGAGTAAGTCATCAATATATACGTTGCAAACATGGTAATCATTTGCAACTATCCAATGAAGTCGCGGCACATGTAAGAGCGTGTAAGCTAGCCGAATGAGTTCAGGTACCTGTTCCCTGCGTGGATATGTGGGTGTTACAAAGTATATTAAAGTCATTGTTTCATAATCGTGGACAGGTCGATTTTGAATAAAAAATCGATTATCTGTAAATACTTCGTTGCATACTAGTTGTGATTCATTGACCCGAGTACGTGCTGAGTCATCTGAAAAAAAAACAACATTCCTGTTTAATTCTGTTGAAAAAGTATGCAGTCCTAGTCATTTGAATAGCGCACCCCTGGATTCTCAGTATGTACAGTTTTCCTTTTGTAAATCCGATTTAAAAAAAAATAAAAAATTTCACCAGAGGGGTGCGCTATCCCAATGAACTGCAGTGAATAAGTTAATAATATTTTTAGTAAAATTTCGGATATTCAGTTTTGTTGCCCATAATGGGTTGCCAGATTTTTTTTAGGCGAAATCAGCACCTTAGGCCTTTTCATGCTATCTATCTATAATATTTATATAAAAAGAAATCCCTTTTTCATGAAATTAGCTTTCAGCAACCACCATGTCATAGGCCAAAAAAAAATTACGTTTTCCCGGTATGTGGACCAGGGACAGATCTATTCGAAAAAATCTTATTATGGTCCGATTTGCTTAAAATGTGGTACGTAGGTATCTTTTTGCCTAGATTAGCATATAGGATCCTTTTTTTTTAGGAAGTGGACCAGGGACCGATGTATTGGAAAAAAACGCATTTATGGTCCGATTTGCTTAAAATTTGGTACGTATTTATGTAGCTTTTTGCCTAGATAAGCATATAGGATCCTCTTTTCGGGAAGTGGACCAGGGACCAATCTATTCGAAAAAATCATATTTATGGTCTGATTTGCTTAATATTTAGCACGTAGGTAGCTTTTTGCCTAGGTTAGGATATAGATATCCTCTTTTTCCGGGAAGTGGGCCACGGAACGATCTGTTCGAAAAAAACGTATTTATGGTTCGATTTGGTTAAAACTTTGTACGTAGGAAGCCTTTTGCCTAGATTAGCATATAGGATCCTTTCTTACGGGAAATGGACCAGGGACCGATCTATTCGAAAAGATCACATTTATGGTCCGATTTGTTTAAAATTTGGTACGTAGGTAGCTTTCTACCTAGACTAGAATATATGATCATTTTTTTCCGGGAAGTGGACCACGGAATGATCTATTCGAAAAAATCGCATTTGTGATCCGATGCGCTTAAAATTTGGTACGTAGGTAGATTTTTGCCTACGTTAGCATATATGATCTTTTTTCCGGGAAGTGGACCAGAGACCGACCTTTTCGAAAAAACTTATTTATTTTTCGATTTGCTTGAAATTTGGCGCGTAGGTAGCATTTTTCCTAGATTAGCATTTAGGGTGTTTTTCCCGGTAAGTAGGTCAGGGACCGATCTATTCGCAATACATCCTATTTATGGTGCGATTTCATTGAAATTCGGTACACGTATTTTAAAGAGAATATACAAAATTGAATGATTGTTTTACACTTTGACCTTGTTTTTCTTAAAATCTGGGGCTGATGGAAATTTTACCTCAAAAATAGAGTTAACATTTGCTGCATCAAATTTTTTTATATATTTGTTGGCCTGTGTAATAAGTATTGCTAAATAGCCAATACCCGCATGTTTGCGGCGCCTTCAAACACCTTTCGAACTGTAAAATAATGACTCAATTCTATTCTACGCATATCTATAATACGGGTATCGAATTTAAAGCAAATCGAGTCATAAATAAGATTTTTTGGAATAGATCGGTCTATTAGATAAAGTATCCTATATGTTTATCCTGGCAATAAGCTACCTACATGCCAAATTTCAAGCAAGTCGCACCATAATAAAATTTGTTTCCAATAGATTGGTATCTGGTACACCTATCAGAAAAAATATCCTATATGTTAACTTTGGCAATAAGCTGCCCACGTGCCATTTCAAGCAAATCGGACCATAAATAAGACTTTTTCGAATAGATCGGTCCCTGGCCAACTTAACGGAAAAAATTAATCCTATATGGTGTGAGCTCCCTGATAAGCAAACATTTTTCAGGTAAAAGGGTCACCGGTTTTGAAATATTTAATTTTTTTTTTATTTGAAAAAAATCGTGCGTTTTCATGTATTTTCTTTAACTGCATCTACAAACAAGGCTATACTTAGTAAATTTTTTATGTAAAATACTTTCAGATAGTTGCTTCTCCATACTCAAATGCAATGTAGTTAAAATATATTAAGGAACCATTATAAAATTAGGACTATATTGGGATTTTTAACTTTAAAAAATTAAATTAAAATTAAAAAATTTACTAAGAATAGCCTTGTTTGTAGGTGCAGTTAAAGAAAATACACGAAAAGGCACGATTTTTTTTTTGATTCAAAAAAATTTTAATATTTCAAAAACAGTGACACTTTTACCTGAAAAATTTTTGCTTATCAGGGAGCTCACCCTCCCATCTACCTTCTCCTCAAGTTTGGCAGGTTACTTCTGGGACACCCTGTATATACATAGATTAAAGTAATAGGTGCAGATAAGGAACATTCAAACATTTTAATTAGGAAACTAGATAAACCATCATTATCCAGCTTTGTAGATATTTTGAGTGCTCTAATACTGGAAACAACGTCATCCACTGTTAGTCTTAATGCGCCGAAATCTATGCATGAATCAATTTCACCGCACATTGTATCATCCAACACGTATACATCGTTATCAAAATTAGAGACAAAAAAATCGGCGAATAGATTAGAAGTTTCAGAACCCGAGTTTGATCTTTCGTCATTGAGAAACATTGTCGCAGGAATATCTAATACAGATTTTTTTGATTTTATGAAGCTCCAAAACGATTTTGGGTTGCTCTTTATGTTACTCTCACATTGCATGATAGATTTATTATATAGAAGTTTATTGAGACAGTTAAACTCGTTCAAATGGAGCAAATACTTTTGGTAGGCCTCGTTATTACTAGTGGTTATATAAACTTTATAGAACTTATTTCTAAGATTTTTTAATTTCTTCAAACGCTTAGTATACGACGGCAATTTATAAACTTTTTTTGGACGAGTCGGAATGAGCTCAGTGAAGATTTTCTTTACATTAGTTAGGAAGATACGATAGCAATCAGCGACTTCGACCTGACTAAGTAGTTCCTCCCAATTAATAGCATTTAATGCGCTGTTTAGAAGTTCCGGGTCACATAAATTGTAATTAAAATCTGGGCCACAACTAGATGTAGAACAGGTATGAAAATTATAAAAGTTTATTTGTAGGACTAGCGGTACGTGATGAACATCCGGCTCAGAAATTGGGAAATCACATTCAGTCAGGTGGAAATCAAAATTACTACTGACAAAGATTAGATATAGACTTCTAGATAACTTATTTAAATAGGAATTAATTTGTACTAAGTCCGCACCGAGAAGACTATCAATTAGGTAAATTTCGTGTGATTTATTGACATTACAGGCCATAAGAGAACTATTATTAGGTACCATAGACCAGGTGACTTTATTTAGATTGAAATCGCCAAGAACGCATAGACGACTCTTACTGTCTGAACCGACTGCAACTGAAATATATGTTATATTGTCCATATGCGCAGCATATAACTCATCAGAACTAAGTGGCGGAATATAGGACGCACATATATACAGTAGATTAGTATCTCCACGTATAGTTACACATAACTGGTCAAGTATAGTATCGGCGTTTACAAGATCAAAGGATTCAGAGCGCCGGTTCCGTTTGACAGCAATAAGAACACCTCCTCCTCTTATGCAACCTGTTTTGACCGAGTCCCTGTCTTTTCTATAAATATTATTCAGCTTTAAGTCACAAATTTCAGCATCAAATATGTCTATATGGATTAAAGTGCGCAACACCGCAAACAAAAAAATTCCAAAAATTAACGGCATTCTTAAGACATTTGAAACTTGTACCTTATTATTCTAGAATGAATGGACTACAAAAATGTTAACCCAAAACATGTCTACAAATTCTGAACAAAAACGGCGAGAATTTGAAGAAACTTTGTTGATTTTTTTCAATGTTTCAAGTTTGGATTTATTTGTAATTTTTAATTTCAATGCATAAAATTTACATACATTTTTTTACTTCCAACCCCCGAATTGCTCAATTACTTCTATGTCTCCAGGATATTTTTTCAAATAAATAGCTATAAGGGATATTTCACCCGCCGGTGATAAGAATCGCGGATTAAGTATCAAAGTGCTAGAAGAGATTTGTGCGTTTGGTACAAAAAGTATTTTTGATGTTGAAATTGTACTTAAAATCGGCAAATTGTACTTATGTACTTTTGAAAACTAATTGTACTGAAAAAGGTACAATTGTACTTAAAATATCAACACTAATTCGAACCCGCCCTCACACTCACAGTATCAGTGATCGGGGCCGATAGAGACGGAGAAGTAGAGGTGGCGGAGGAAACAGCAGCAGGCATTGAACAGGCAGTGCAAGATATGCTAACGACTCCTTCTTTGTTGTTTGAGGAACTTGTCACTAGGCCACGTAGATGTTTTAATTCGGTTGTTAGTGACAATATCTTCGCATCATTATTAGCGAGTTTTGTTTGCATTGAAATTGTTTCTGCCCGCAGGGCATCGAACATTTGCAATAGTTGCTTCCTATTTTCATACAGAGAATTCACCAAAGATATCAAACTCGCATTCTCATTTCGAAGAGCGGCAATTTCTCTGACGACAGTAAGCAAAGTAGCTTGCTGCTTGTTAACACTTTCGTTTGCTATTACGATTGTTTTCTTTATTTGCGACTCGAATGATGAAGAGTTTACATTAGCATTATTAGGCAAGGTAACTTGCTGCTTATTACCACTATCGTTTTCTCTTACGATTGGTTTGTTTTTTTTTGCGACCCGGACGAAAGAGAGTTTACATTAGCATTATCAGGCAAGGTAACTTGCTGCTTACTAACACTTTCGTTTGCTGTTTAGATTGTTTTGTTTTTTTTTGTGACTCAGATGAGGGAGAGTTAATATTAGCAGCTTTCTCAACCAAAACATTAGAGGGTGAAGACGAGCGAGAGTTACGGCGATCAGCCTTGCATGTTTTACAAAAGAAAGGCGAGAAGAAAATCCACATCAGCCTACACGCCACCAAACATTTTAAGTGAAAATACTCTTTGCAATGAGCACACAGCATCTTCGATCGATTCCTATCAACCTTTTGTCCGCCCAAGCACGGCATATTTAATTTCGATATTAGCA